TACTTTTTTCAACTATGGCTTCTCAATGGGACACAACCTTCAATATATATTATATCCTAAGCACTCAATATACATTTTGATTGCTTAAAATATAATAACATGCCATAGTCAGAGAACTGAATTGTAATTGAGGGAAAAGCAGGCAGATTCTGAAAATTTCTAGATATGATTATAGTATAAATACTTCCAGTAAACCAAAATATTGGGCATATTTTTTATACTGCCATGCATGCACAGTGAGTCAAATTTGAAAAGTAGATATCACTTTAATACTCAATTTACTAGAAATGCATGGAAAAAATAAATGGCATAAAATAAACCCTTAAGAATCTATTAAGGCTACCTCTTAGGTACAAAGAAGTGTTAATTGTTCATAGTTAGCCAGGTTATTTTAATTAAAAGTGTGTTAGATTAGTGTGTTAGCAATAGAAATAGTATTTAGACTTATATATCACCCCATATCTCTTTACAGCACTCTTTGGGTGATTTACAATGTAGAAGACTTATTTGCATTGTTCCCAACAATCTGGGTCCTCATTTTACCAACCACAGAAGGATGGAAGGTTGAGTCAACCCTGAGCCCTGTCAGGATTGAACTCCTGGCTGAGGGGAGAGTTAACCTGCACTACTACACTTTAACCATATAACCAGGTTCATATAATAAATAATCAAGGATAATTCACCAGTCATTCCTAGGAGGTTTAAAAAGATGCAAAATGGTTATGACTTACCAAAAGGAACGCTGAAGAAAGGACTACACAAGGCCTTTGCAGCAGTAGCTCTTTTTTCTTGGTCATCGTGAAGCATGCTGAACAGCAAAAATGTTTTACTTTCCAGTAAAATTTACAAGAAAACCTCAGACTTCAATATGTTAAACATAGAAAAAATCCCGTCAGATTTTTTCTTTGTCGCCTGTTTCTTTAATGGAAGATGATAAAAAGTAAATTTCTATCAATCTACTTTTACTGCCAGATATTCTCTAGAAATCGAGGGTTTTCCTGGTTTGATTGAATTGTACTGCCTTGCACGGAAATTCATAAATGGAATAAAAGTCTCTTTTGCAGAAGAGCTTTTTTGTGAGATGAACACTGTGCTGGATAGCCTGATGCCAATAGAGGTATATGTAAATTGTTTGTATGCCTGTAAGGCAGGGGTCCTCAACTGGTGGGCGTGAAGGGATGGCCAGTGCACACACACACACGTGTGCACTCACCCCCCCCACACACACTCACACTAGTGCTGCCCAGAGCATCCTGCTGGTGCTAGAGCCACCCCGCCCCAAGTGTCCTACTGGCACTAGCACCGCCCCGAGCATCCCGCTGACACTAGAGCCGCCCCACCCCCAAGCACTAGTGCTGCCCTGAGCATCCTGCTGGCGCTGTCACCCCACCCCCGAGCGTCCCACTGGCACTAGTGCCACCCATAGCATCCTGCCAGCGCTAGGGCTGCCCCATTTGCAGCATTCGTGCCTGGGCAGCCCTGTTTGCATGTGCACATGCACTCGTGTACGTCCGTTTGCATGTGTGCATGCACTCACACGAGGCCCATTTGTGTGTGTGTGCATGGGGCTCATTTCTGCACGCATAGTGCACCAGGCTCATTTTTGCGCATGCACGCGTGCGGCCCATTTGCACGCACGCCATATTGGTGCCTGCCTCCCTTTCCGGACCGCCAAATCAAAAAGGTCGGAGACCTTTGCTGTAAAGTATTTGTCCATCCTCAATATTTTGTGGTGGATCTCTTGGACCTTATGGAGGAGAGAAAGAAGAGTCCATGGGAGCAAGCTGATCTGATTGTTATTATCTGTCTTCTTCTTCTTCCTGTCTCTCCAGGGAGTCTTCCCATAGAGGAAGTAGTTTTTAATAGCTCTGTCTGTAGATGGGGGGAGGGGTGGGAGTTAGTCCAGCTGAGTAAGGTTCTATGGTTGCTGCCAGCTCTACAGTGGTCTTTTAAAGATATGATTATCAGGATTATACTTCAAGCATAGTTAAGTTTAGGTTTGTATAAGGATATCTTAATATTGGCAAATATATTTTCAGTTCCTTTCGTAGTGACTCATAATATTGCATATACTTATTCTACCAATGTCATATATTGGGTCAACATGTCAACTGATAGTTGTAACTCCAAGATTTTTCTCCAGCCAGTAATCACCAGCTTAGATCCCATTTTGCTGACAGCTTTTCCTGTCATGAACTATTGTGGTTAAACTTGTGTCCTGAACTCCATTCTGGTGGATATGATTTAATGATTTAATGTCATTTTGCATTGTGATTTTGCATTAGCTAAAATCACTGCTGATCCTCCTACTTGATGTTATCTGCAAATCTGAACAGTGTCTCTTCCACTCCATGTTCTATTTAATTTATTTTTAATTATTATTTATTTTATCATGAGAATAAAAAACAGTAAAACCAACAAAATGAAACAAAACAAAAGCATATATTCAACCCTAACAACAACAAAGAAAAAAACTGTAAAAAAAAAGAAGGGGAGACCCTAGGGCAGAGGTCTCCAACCTTTCTCGGTTGGCAGACAGAGGGAAAGGGAGGAAGAAGCACACGCGTGCACACACAAACGGGGCCATGAGCATGTGCAACACAAACAGGGAGGTGCTAGCACTCACGTGACACTTGCTAGCACCGCCCCATTTTTGCCACGCAGTGCTCTATTTCACCATGCGGCATCCCATTTTCACCACATGGCGCCCTGTGTGTGTAGCGGTGGCAGCACTAGTGCGAGTGGGGGTGAGTGTGTGCACACATATGCGTGCACTGGCCAGCCTGTTTCGTGGCCCGGTAGTGGGCCACAGACCACAGGTTGGGGGCCCCAGCCGTAAGAGATCTCACTTGATAATTCCCTCCAAGATGATACAAGACATTTTTGAGCACTCTTTAGATGTATTAATTACCTTGCCAAAAGGATAAGACAGAGCTTGCCACAGGTTTTACAGAGATTAAGGTTCGAGTAGTCCTCGAGTTATGATCATAATGGAGTCTGCATAATTGGGATAAACATTAAATGAACTGCCTCAACTAATGACCAGCCATCCCTGCTCTCCCGGTGTATTTGTGAAAAAAACATGTGGAACATTAAGTGGAAGATCAGGTGCCTTAGGTGTGGGGGAGATCCTGGGAGGCCTAGTACAGGCACAAGCCCACCTGCCTCAAGTCTCCCAAGGCCTCTCCCAACTCAATATACCCCATGCTCCACTTCCCATACCTTGGGTGGCTCACACGTGTACCTGCCGCAGAGCTGATTCTCTTGCCAGTGAGAAATAATGAGAAAGGAAAATGCTGGGTATGCCTGTTTTTCCTAGTTCTGTCACTGTCCTTCCTCCTGCCATGGGTCCCTGCCTTTCTGGGACAAAAAAGGAGTTTTCTGTCCCAATCAGCTGGCCGTTGGGGCAAACCTTCTCCTGGTTCTTGCTAGGCTTTGGGAAAGCTGCAAAGACGGCAACTTCACAAAGAGCTTCCCAAAACCTTTCCTCTGTTTTAACCCCCTCCCTCCCCCAGAAAGCCACATTTTTTCAATAAAGAAAGCAAAAAAGCTGTGAGGGACAGAGTTGTTGATCTTTATTCCCCCTCCCTCCTCCATATTAAACTCTTTACCTCTTACTTCCAATCTCTATCCCTTTTAAAAACCTCATTCACTAAATTACTGCATGCCTGGAGACAGGATAATACAATCTGAAAATTTACTTATCTTGACTCCAGACTGAAGAATAGAAGAAAGCAACCAAGCAAGCAAAGAAAATCTTTCTGCAGCTTTTTGCTTTGAGAAGCTGAAAAAAAAAATTCAGTTCAAAAAGTTTAGCTGGCTAGAGCACATCACATGTTGACCAAATGGGAGAGAGGCTGGGTCCTTAGAAAGTTTTTGCTGTTTGTCTGACTGTCTTTAGGACCAGCTAGAACTTGCCTTTACAGGACAGCTTCTATTCTGTTTGCTGTGTTGTGTCTAACCGACTAGACTTTTTGAGCTGAATTTTTTTCTTCAGCTCTTCAAGGCAAAAAGCTGCAGAAAGATTTTCTTTGCTTGCTTGCTTCCCTTTCTCTATTCTTCAGCCTGGTGTCAAGTTAAGTAACTTATAGATTTTATCATCCTCTTTCCAGACATGCAGTAAATTTTGCAAATTAAGTTATTAAAAGTGATAGAGATTGGAGGACAGAGGCAGGGATTTTAGTTCTACCACCTAATTGGTGGAGTGGGAGGGGAGAAAGATCAAGCTGTCTGTCCCTCCCAACTTTTTTCATTGTATTTATTGAAGAGATGGGGCGTTGTCTTACCTGAATGCCTTTTCTCAGTACGGAGATGGAGAATCCACCAATGGGTTTTCTTTGTCTGCCTGCTCTTGAGACCAAGTAGCCAAACTTGACACGCCCCCTCTTGCCAGGAAATCCAGTCTTAACGAGGGCGAAAGTGACTGAAGATGGACGAGGTGTTGGCTCTCAAACCCCTACAGTGGCCTATCTGACTATAAGGGGTGGGTGTGGATTCTCCATCTCCGTACTGAGAAAAGGCGTTCAGGTAAGACAACGCCCCTTCTCCAGTACAGGAGATGGAGAATCCACCAATGGGACATACCAAAGCCTCACTGTCCTGATGGGTGGGAAACAGATAAGGCCGGAATAGTGTCCCTGGGAACCACCTGCTGAAGGACCCTCCGCCCAAAGGAGGCGTCCACTGAAGCAAAACTATCAATTTTGTAGTGGCCTATAAACGGGGAGGGTGAAGACCAGGTCACAGCCCTACAAACCTCCTCGATGGATGCCTAAGTGGCCCATGCCACAGAAGTCGCAGCGCTGCGAGTGGAATGGGCAGTGAGATGACTTGGAGCTGGCAGGGAAGAGGACTGGTACGCCTCCGCAATACAGGCCCTGATCCACCTGCCAGTCGTGCCAGAGGAAACCTTCTGTCCCAAAGAGGCTGGACGGAAGGAAACAAATAGGGCCTCGGACCTGCGAAAGGGCTCTGTACGCTTGATGTAGCGCCGCAACGCTCTGCGGACGTCCAGCGTATGCCACTGCCACTCCAAGTCATGGGAAGGGTCGGGGCAAAAATTAGGTAGGATGACTTCCTGAGCTCTGTGGAAGAGCGAATTTACCTTGGGCACAAATGTGGGGTCCAGACGAAGGACCATCCGATCACTGTGAAAAGGTCACTTCTGACCGATAGGGCGGCGAGCTGAGAGATACGTCTGGCCGATGTGACAGCTATTAAGAATGCGACCTTAAGAGATAGATTCCTTAACGAAACAGTCATTATAGGCTCGAAGGGTGGCCTAGTTAGAGCCTGAAGTATGTGAGGTAATTCCCAAGAAGGATACCTGTGCACCACGGGAGGCCTAGTGTTGCACGCACCTTTGATAAAGGCACGACTTCTGGGATGGTGAGCCAAAGGAACTGAATCCGCACAGGTAAGTAATGTGGACAAGACAGCCACCTGTCTGCGAATGGTCGCAGGGGCGAGGCCTCTATCCAGGCCATCCAAAAGGTAATCTACGATTTGAGGGATGGTTAGCTTTTGTATGATTAGTTGTCGCCTCCAACACCAATGGCAAAAATTCTTCCAGGTAGAATTATAAATGCGATTGGTCGCTGAGCGGCGGGAAGCCTGAATCATGGAAATGGCACGAGGGGAAAATAGTTCTTGGGTCATTATGCAGCGCTCAAGCGCCAAACGGTTAGTTATAACCATTGGGGTTCCGGATGTTGAAGGGACCCCTGATGTAGTGACACCCGATGAGGGGGAATCTTCCATGGAGGAAATCGGGAAAGAGTCATCAAGTTGGCAAACCACGGCCTCTGAGGCCAGTACGGTGCCACGAGGATCACATCCACCCGTTCCTGAAGTATCTTGTTGATGGTCGCCGTTATAAGGGGTAGGGGAGGGAAGGCGTAAAGCAGACCTTGTGGCCATGGAGTCCGCAAGGCGTCTGTTCCCTCCGACCCTGGAAGGAAATAGCGGGAATAGTACCTGGGGAGTTGAGCGTTGGTCGACGACGCAAACAGGTCGAGGATCGGTCGGCCAAACCGGAGAGATATTTCGGAGAACAGGTCCGGATGTAATCCCCACTCTGATGGGTCCACCGTAGCGCGACTCAGGAAGTCTGCTTGCTGGTTGTTGACCCCCGAGATGTGTTCGGCCTTGATGGAGGCCAGATTGGACTCTGCCCAGGAACCCAGGAGCCGTGCCTCGGACATCAGAGACCTGGACCTGGTGCCCCCCTGACAGTTGACGTGGGCTTTGGACGCCACGTTATCCATGAGGACCAGAACGTGGCGACCCCTGATCGTGTGTCTGAATTGGCGTAGAGCCAGGTGGATGGCCCTGAGCTCCAGCCAATTGATGTTGTGTCTCAAGTCTGTGCGGGACCAACGGCCCTGCGCAAACTGAGACTGTAGATGGGCCCCCCATCCAAACAGACTGGCGTCTGTCGTGATGGTGATGCGGTCCGGTTCCTTGAAGGGTGACCCTTTGGTCACTGCCCGTGAGAACCACCAGCGAAGAGCCCTGCGAACCTGAACCGGGACCCTGACCTGTCGGCTGGATGCACTGGCATTTGCCCGTTGGAATGGCAGCAGGAACCACTGGAGGTCCTGCAAGTGAAGTCTGGCCCAGGGAACAATGGCTATGCAGGAGACCATCTTTCAAATAGGAGAACCTATACCATCTCAGACAAGTGACTTCAAGAACTGAAACTGATAGTCCTTATAAAGCAAAACAAAATAAGCAACCTCAAGTAGAAACTTGTGAATATTTTACTGCTCTATTAAAATCCTTTGGGAGGCAACTGGATGGCTTAACAGTTCTCTTAGGTCTCAGAACTGCTGTCTCCTATGTCACCAGTTTTATTTCTAACACTAGATATATCTTCAATTGCAACTTTTAAACTACTAGGGCATTATCTTTTTTAAACTAAGTCATCTGAAGATTTACAAAAGGCAAAGCTAAACTGCTATCTGAATGAAAACATAGCACATGTAATTTCTAAACTGGTGAACTTATACATGTTGGATTCTACTATGAACTTGGCAATGTCACCAATTTAAACTGTCCTGTATCTACACCAACAATAATCCAAGTTATTATTCAGATTCACAATTCTACATTCTTGGCAAAACCAATAATGTGGACAAGCTGTATTTCTGGAACTGATCTTGAACTAAGGACCCAACCTTTTGTAAAAGGGACCATTTTGTGCTTTTTTCAAATAGGGACAGCATACCTTTTGAGGAGGTCTCTGAGGTGATAGACTGGGATGGCAGAATTTATCACAAAATGTGATCAATAAAGGCAGAATTATTTGCCTAGAAGGAGTCAGGAAAAAAAAGAAAATAAAACAATCAACCCAAAAAGGGATTAATTGGGCTGCAACATAGTTGGCTGCTATCCTACTCTCCCAGTCCTCAAAATTTGGATATTTAAAAATCCCCATTGTAATAAATGATAACCAAGCACACTGAATATTTTTTTCCATTCCTACAATTAGCTCATTCTATAGCTGCTCAGTCTTCATTCTCTTCAGCAAATACACTATTCTTTTCCAGTGATGAAACCGCACAGTCAACCGCACAGTATTCTAACCATTTAAAAAATAATAATAGGTTTACTTTTCTGCTCAATATGCAACACAGAACAACTAGCTTGTTGTTGTTGGGGAAAAGTCTTTTTTCTGCAGTAAGTGTGTACAGATAATTGGTTGTCACTATACAAAAAAGATGCTGAGGCCCTGGAAATAGTGCAGAGATTCCATTCCATTCACCTCTCACTAACATCTGATACTATTTAGTGCAGATACCAAGTGCTAGCTGATCTACCTTGTGTTATTTGATGGCCTTCTGATGTTATGTTCTTCCAAAGGAAATCAATTACCAGGCCAATTAATAGTTGCTCCCAACAAAAGGGCACATAATTGTTTATGAAGCCTAGGATCCAAAGCTTTATAGCAGATAAGCAAACTTGCTATGGGCAGAAGTATACTTCTTAATATATTGTTGTTATTTACTATTACTACTATTTTACCTAACAAAGGGAACTACAGGCAGGTGGTCAAGCTCTGACATTACTAAAAGGAAAAACTGGGATCCTCAAACTATTTCCCCTATCTTTTTCAGATTTTCAGCAAAGTTTTATATGTATGCTCTATCTCTGCCTCTTTGGCTTCCCTCAAGAAAACCAAAAATTTTAACATTTCATTTGCCCAATAAGGCAGACTGAAGCCAAATAAGGCATTTATTTATATCTTTTATAAAATTTGAAAGTTCCTGAAAGTCAACTGCTACAAAAACAGAGATGTTTGGTGGACTGAATTTTAAAAAAATGAACTGAAAAGAAACTCAGAACTTACCCTGCATTCCTGAGATTGGACAATATGTTTCAATTTCATTTCTGAGAACATCTCCAGTAATATTATTCCAAGACTCCAAAGATCAACACCAGAAGTACATTCAGTTCCACCATGGACTCCAGCCTTGGATAGACAGTTCTGTAGCTCAGCCTCAGGTGCTCAGTATCCATCAGTTTGGATGTATTTCACATCCTAACAAAGATCAAGAATATTTTAGAACTATAAATTCACCAACCAAGATGACACAGAAATAAATGGCTGATTTTTGTGATGCAAAGTTTTTCAAAGAAAGTTTTAGAGTCTTCCAAATCAAATCCTAGCCATTGCACAGAGTATCTATGCTGTCATTCAACTATATTTTTATTATGTGTATAATTATATTATTCTAAGCAACAAAGAAAATTATAATATTCCAAGGGAACAAAGAACAGATAGTCTGATTATACCTGGATAATCATCATGGCATGGAATTTCAATTTAGGGAAATCAAATAGATTTTCTATTAATATATGATTGATAAAAATGAATATGAAAATTTGGTAAAGAAACAAAAACTAAGTCTCTCAGCCCCAAAGCTACAGGTTAGTATGCTGGCAGATGGAAAACTGGTTTATCAGCACCAATAATCTATTTTCGTGAAGCACAGGTAGTCCTCAATTTACAACCATTTGTTTAGTGACCATTTGAAGTTAAATGGCAGTAAAAAGGTGATTTATATCATTTTCACACTTGCAATCATTGCAGCAGCCCCATGGCATGTGATCGAAGTTTGGCTGCTTGCCAACTGGCATTTATTTATGACAGTTGCAGTGTCCCAGGGTCATGTAATCAACATTTGTGATCTTCTGACAAGCAAAGTCAATGGGGAAGCCAGATTCACTTAACAACCGTATTACTAATTTAACAACTGCAGTGATTTATTTAACAATAATGTCAAGAAAGATTGTAAAATGGGCAAAACTCACTTAACACCTGTCTTGCTTAGCAATGGAAATTTTGGGCTCAGTTGTGATCATAAGTTGAGGACTATGTATAAGAGATGGATTGCAAACAGATATCTTAGGGTATTGCTACTTGTTTTAGTTATTCACACTCAGACCTCATATCCTAGATTTTGATAATTATCAAAATAAAAGTAAGAAACAGCATGTACATTACAAATTTTATGTTACCTAGTTTGGGTAATGAAATGTCAGCAAGAAAACAACCAAGCTTAGAAAGCCAAGGACCCCTCATTTTTAATTTCAGCCAAACAGTTTTAATACATGGCTAGAGCAGTGACTAGTGAATCAGCAAATCAGGTTTATTTTTCCATAAAATGACCAGATGTCTAAAGACCTTAGGTCTTCATTTAAAAAAAACTAATTATCAATAGCACAAAATGTAGATATTGACTGAGGATAATCAAGAATAATTTCATAATATTTTGGTCCTTAAAAGCTAGCATAAACCTTAGTGTCCACATAACTAAAACAGATGAATGCTGCATCTTGACTTTCTCTTTTCATAAAGTATTGAGAATACATTTTAGTAAGTATGCATAAGCACCCCCCCACACACATAAAACGTTTATGGAGTTTTTCCTCCAAACAGCTTCAGTGTTATATACAAGAGCTGTAAGAAAGTGTCTTGAGAAAGTGTCTTTCATTGCAGAAAGAGAAGATTATACGTTCCACAAGCAATAATCTTTTAACTTTTTGAAAAATTGGAGAAACCCTAGCAAACATAAAGATATTACGCTGCAGTTAACTTTAAATGTGAGGGATCTCGTAAAGCACTTAGCTTCACTTTTTACAGTAATCCTATTTCTTTGATGATTTTCTTGGGTCAACTGACCAACCTGATTCCCCTCCTTGAAGCTAAGACCAAAATCTATGAGCTTGAAGCACTCTTCCTCTGCACTCCATAGAATGTTGCATGGCTTCAGGTCTGCATGGACATAACCTTTATGGTGGAGGTATATCAAGGCTTCCAGGACATGCACAGTGCTGAGTGATCACATAGAACAGCCACGCTGAATGAACAAGCAACTCTGACACACTGATATCCAGCAACTCTAATAAAAGGCAATACGATGAACCTTTGGCAGAAGAACAGTTGGTGAACATACTGTATAACGTTACTGCAAACAAGAAATAAAAATTATTGGTAGGAGTTATAGAATGAAGAAACATCCGTTTGTAGTAATTTTAGTTGATTGTCTCAGTGCTGAAGCAATGTCTCTGCTTAGGAATTCTCCATTTAATTTTGACCTGAAATCCATCCTACTTCCCCAACACTGACTTTAAAAATTATGTGTAGTAAAATGAAAATAAGGACAAAACAGTATTTATATTGCTTACTCTGAATGTGACAACCTACATTACCTTCAGAGCTGAACTGCTGTCTACCCTTGATTTTTACTATCCCTGTTATAATTCTATATGACCTCTAAGACATTTGTAGATGACCTCAACAATATTGAGCTGCAAGTCTCCCAATCTGTAAACAGCACATGATACATTAAAGTATTACATGCCATGAATTGAGCAGCACTCCATAGTACAAAAATTACTCCTACAAATAAATGCTAAATAAGAAAACTCTGGCTAGTTCTGTATTTGGAGACAGTTCAATAGCATTGGGAAATAGTTCTGTTAAATGATAAAGGGTATCCTTCTTTAGATTTCATAATAGATGATTGATTAGTTCTTGATGAAAATATATGCCCAGAACAGCAGTATACTTAAGACCAAGAACAAATTGGAGGCAGTTTTAAGATTCAGGGGCAGTGCTATTCTCAATGTTGCACAATTAGGTTGCAGCATACAGCAATATGTGCTCTTAGTTTCATGTATCTTTTTTGCAACAACATTCTGTCATCTTAGTAGATGCTCATCAATGGATAGGTATGTGATCATCAGAGTACCACTTTGTATGTGCTCTTATAAATGAGATTACAAATTTATCAAGGGACAGAGATAAGCCTTCTACCATATGATAGTCACCATTTCAATATTCCTGACATTTATCTATATACTACTAAAATTCTTGTGTCTGTTTGTAACCTTCAATTGGACAGTAGAGGGCAACAGTTACTGAACCACGCTAAATCAAATGGCCTAACAACTTACAAAATGCCTAGACCAGTGGTGGCGAACCTATGGCACGGGTACCAGAGGCGGCACTCAGAGCCCTCTCTGTGGGCACGCGCACCGTCGCCCCAGTCCTAGACCTTCAGCTGGGTTTTATAAAACCTTTTCCCTTTAGGCCTCCGCTGCCGTGTACAAAAAAAAAAGGTTCAATCAATCAGTCAATTTCAACTTCTCGGGGGGAAAAAAAAAGATCTTGCAAAGTTGGAATTGATTGAACTTTTTAGTCCCACCCAGTCTGCTGTTACCACTGCAGCCACGCCCACCCAATGGGCCACACCCACCCAATGGGCCACACCCACCCGGTACCCAACAATGCATAAGTGGGTTTTGGGTTGCAGTTTGGGCACTCGGTCTCTAAAAGGTTCGCCATCACTGGCCTAGACCTGTGTTGTCTATGAACACTGCAAACATTTAGACATGCCAGGGTATAGTGTCCACAAATAGTTATTATAACACATTAGATAATCCTAGCTTAGAGTCTGAAGAAATGAGGAATAGCTAAACTGGTCTAGGAAGTGTGAAACCAGACAGAAAGCCTACTTTCAGATGGAAAGATCTTAGCTACAAATAAAAAAAATTGTACACATACTTTACCTTGTCAACCATATTACTATAAGCAAAATGTCATTAAAGACAGGGCAATTACTTCACAAAAGCTTCACGTGAAAACACTCTAAATATGATCTCAAGGACTTTTCGTCACCGCTAAGGACTTGAGATGCATTGAGAAAAAGAAGCCATTTACCCTTCACTTCTGACTCAGCGGGATCAAATTACCCAGGAAAAAAACCATGACACTGCATATGTCCCGAAGCCCTTCTCCCCCTTTCCACGCACTGCAAGTCCGCATAGCCATGAAGATCCTACCCCTCAGCCGCTGGCTCGCTCGCTTTAGCGAGCTGCTTCCCAGTCTGACCTCCCCTCCACCCCCACCACCCCAGTCCCCCTGCTTCTCACCGATGTTACGGTGGCCTTGCAGCTCCTCCAGCGCGGCGCGCTCGTTGCTGAAGCCGTGATCGACGTCGCCCCCAAGGGCCAGCAGCCCGGACCCCTGTGGGAGAAACTCCTTGAGGGCGGTCAGTAGGGCCCCGGGCTCGCCGAGACAGCGCGCCTGGAAGACAGCGGCCGAGGCCCCGCTACCCAAAAGGGCTTCCACCTGCCACAGCCGACCCAGCGCCCCTACCACTGACGACCTCGCCGCCATTCCGCGGAGACCAAGAGGGCCAGGAAAAAGGGAATCACATCACCTTTTCGCTGCAGTCCATACCTCGGTGGCCGGGAACCAGGAGCCGCGAAGGAGGGCCACTCCCCTCCACCACCCGCACAACAGCCGGCAGCCACCTCCGTGACGCCTTGACAGCGCACCCGCCTTTGCCTCATGTGGACCTGCCTCCCGCCGCGAAGCAACTGAGTTGGCGCAAGCGCACCAGTAGCCTGGAAAAAGTCTTGGGAGGAGAAAATCTCCGAGTTTTTGTGGAAGGCTCTGTGAAGTACCAGTAGATGAGTAGAAGGTAGTATTTGTAACTTTGGATTAAACTATGGAGTCCTTGGTACTTTCTCGAGTGCACATAGAAGTTATCGAGTTGGGTAACGAAATATCTGCAAGCATGCAACCGAATTTGGAGAACACCAAGGACTTCTCTCTGTAACATTACTTGCAAGCTCCAAGGCATCGTCTAAATGCCCAGCCGAGTCGAGGTGGATACAAACGTATGCACGAATGGCCTACTTTGGAAAGTTTCGGTGAACGTGCGTAGTTTTAGACGAGGAGCAATGGAGAAGGCACAAACATGCTCTGGATTTTTGCTATTTACTTTGCGGTGTCCGTTGACTTTGTCTTTATCTCCTCACGAGACAGCTTTAATATTTTTTTTAGCTGGGTTAATAAAATGCTACTTTTCCTTTAAGCAGGCAGCATTCAACAACCGCAAAACGTGTTACTGCTACTATAATGTGCCAGCCATTATATGACATCCAGCAGAACAGCAGTTAAGGCATAGGATATTACCTGGGAGACCTTCGGTCCTACAGTCCCACTGTTGGAAGAAAGGTCTTCATCGTGGTTCATCCAAGCTGGGAATAAACATGGCAACTGCTTTGGGAAGAAGGTTGTAGTTTATTGGAGAGAAGAGCCAGACAGGAAGATGGTTTTGGCAGTAAGAGAAGTGAAAAAAAGGGCCTAGCACATGTAGGGAATAGGTTTTTTATACCCTCTGGGGCCTTTTGTTTGGAATTATTTCCTGTTCCTGTTTTGAGGCTATTTCCTGTGTCATGTATTCTGGCCTGAGTTTCGGTGTGCCCTTTGGCCTTTGTGAGTTAATCCTACCATGTCCTGTCCCAGGTGGGATATGCAGATTTCAGGTCTTTGTCTTCCTAATCTCCTAACTCCAACTTTCCTGATGGTTTACATCTGCATTTGTACAGAGCTGGTTTCTGCTTGCGGGAGGCGGACTTGGGGCTATTAAGAAAAACTGGGCATGCTTTTCTGTCTCTTTAAGATCCTTTGAGAAAATATATTTTTCTGCCCTTTTAATATTTCCTTCTCTGGGGGGCTGACTTTCCACACCACCTTAGTACAAAGTCAGCTAAGTGACCTTGGGCCAGTCACTCTCATGCAAATCACTTACAAAACCTTGCCAGGAATTTCCAAAGTACTCTAGTCGCTTTGAGTAAAAAAAATAAAAAATAGATACACGAGAACACACAAAATGATGGAGGTGGAAGCGAAGTCAGGTGACTACCAAAGGGCAGGATGAGAAGGCTGCTTATTGGCTATTTCAGGCTCATCTGGGAATGCTCCCTTCCATTCTCGGCTACTGTTTAGATTTCTACCAAGAGCTGCTGGGCGCTGCAGAAGTCTATTGGTGGGCTATTAGACTTGCAATTATAGAAGACTGCTCAGCCATCAGTATCCTTTAAGGTGTTAATTCCATGGCCCTTCCTAATGCATGAGTAAAATAGTGAAAATTAAATTTCCCCCGCTTTCCAAAGAAGAAATCTGGAAGTCATCCTTGGTTGTTTCGTGAAGACAGGAAAGGAAGAAACGAACAACCTCAGGCTTACAACTCGGTTCCCTTTGCTCATTTAAAGCATTAGCTTGGTTCCAACAGAATGGGCAAGGTACAGAAAGAAGCCAAAAGGTGCTCGAGTTTGTTGTCTGTATGTGCCTGTCAAGACCTCACACTCATGTCTTAAAGAATGGGAAGAATAACAGAATAACAGTCTAGTCTTGGTTTTTCACTAACACTTGAGTGGAAGGGAGGATTTTAATGATGGTAGTAGACCTTTGCCTGTTATCCAAGGGAAAAAAGGGAGATCAATTTCTAGACCAGTTCTGTAATCCCAGGTTGAGTTGATAAAAACAACAACCATATCTATTTTATATTATTGCATCTTGCACAAAATACTTAAAACAATACAATGAAATCATTTTAATCACGTATGTTTCTACAGACATTTTAACATACAATGTGCAGAGGTTAACATGTAATATGCAGAATTTGTTATGGCAGTATCATTCAATCTCCAGGCATCAGCATCATTCTGTAGTCTGCAATCCACATTTCATTTCCCTTTGTTACCTGTTTTCCTCTGATACTCATTTCAGACTAAAGAACCAAAATCAAACCTTATATCTCCTGTGGTGTGAATATTGCATAGCACTGTTCTAGGTTGGGGACTTTTTTCTAAGGAGTCTGCCTTCAATCGCAGCAGTCACACTCAATGCCCTTTCCCCATTCTTTCCATCGAACAAATTATTATTCATTTACACTGATATTCCATAATATAAAAATGCCAAAATGCTATTTACACTTGCCTTATCTTTTTGTCATTTCCTTTTAGGAAAAAGAGAAATGTTTCCTCCATATGAAGATTATATGTTTTCCCAGGTATTGATGTCAGGCTGATTGGTCTGTAGTTTCCTGGATCCATTTTTTCCATTTTTTTTGAAGATGGGAACCAGATCAGGTCTTTTCCAGTCCTCTGACATTTCAACAGTGCTCCAGGAGCATTGAAAGATTTTTTTCAGTGATTCTGAGATCACATTTGCCAACTCCTTTAGAACCATGGGATGTAACTAAAAGTCAGCACAGGTTTGTTAAAAACAGGTCATGCCAAACCAATCTTATTTCATTCTTTGACAAAGTGACTAAAATAGTAGACCAGCGAAATGCTTTAGTGATTAGTAAACAACATGTCTTGGTTCATATACTTAACATTAACTTCTTTAATATAGATTGATTCAATACTGCACAATCCAGTGTTTTTTCCCTGATCCTCCTTTCTTCCCCAATTTATTTTCATTTTCCCCACATTACATAATTACAATTCTTTCTATTATTGATACATACAAAGTTAAATATAAATATCCTCATCCTATTTTTAGTATACAAATAATATCAATTTATAACCTCTTTTCTAGCCAATTTATATTTCAGTTGTATTTGCAATTAAAATCTTGTTAAATCAATATCCTGTTTTTCATGCTCTTATTTAAGTTTGATTTCCCATCAATATTCGAAATATCTTTGTCAGTTATGATTTTCTCAAGATTAGTTACATTTATGTAGCTAAGAATTTTATTCATACCAGTCATCCTCTTATTTTTATATTTCCCATATCAAAAAAGAAAAAAGTGCTATTCTAATTCTAAATCATATCTTTTATTATAAAAGTCTAGTTATATCTAAGGGTTATCCATTTTTTAAACTAAATTCAAACAGATATTTAATCATATAATGCCCCTCTGGTAGGTCAAATTTTCTATTCTTTAAGTCTAACTTTCACTTTCTTTCATTGCCAAATAGCTTTCCAGGCCAAGGCAATTAAATCGACCAAAGATTTTCCCTCTATTTTTGTGGAAGTTGCTTGGAATGAGGAAGACATTTCTCCTAACTGCTCTATAGTCCATTTTGTAAGATCTTCCTTGTCATCAGGTATATTTTGCAGACCTAAGGGGTAAAGCACCTTTTCCATTTTCATTAGTATAGCTAAGTCCTGCAGTGTTTTATTTGTATTTGGTAGTTTATATTTCCCTTCTTTTTTCTCTTCCATCTTTGGGTCAATTTCCTCTGCTTCATCTTCTGATTTCTGGGTTGTTCATACTTTGTAGTTGTTGCCTAAGAATTTCCTAGCTGTAGAATTAATTTAGAGATTTGCTCATTTATGTTAGCTAAATTGTTTTTAGTCTCATCATAGTTTCTTTTTGTGTCTTCTTTATGTGCAATAATTGGTGAATTATTTTATATACTATTTATAATTATATTTCCTTCTGAAGAATATTTGTTTTTTCTTGAGGTATCACTCCTGCAGATTCTTGATTAGCCTGGGTGGGGGCTTCAAATGGAGGTGTAGGGTATGTTTTCTTACCATTTTTAGTTGGGCATGAAGCATCCATTTTGTTTCCCCCCTCCAGATATTCTTTCAAAACTTTTATGCTCTCCAAGTACAAGTCTTATCTAATATCACCAATCTTAATGACAATAGAATGAAGTTTCCTCTAGTTTTCTGGTCTTTATGTATAGCCTTTATAATCCAATAGATTCCAAAATATGAGTCCAGTCCTAAAGGCAATATTTTGTAATGGTCCTTCTGCTCAGATGTCCAAAAATTGTCAGGCAAAGTTGCAATCCACAATATTCAAAGTGTTCAAAATGTTCAGCCACCCTGGAAACAATTCAAAGGTCTCTCCCAGTCAAACACAGCCAAAAGTCAATTTTTTCTTTGTCTCCCAATAGTTCTTAAGATTAAAAGTCCAAGCTCAGTAGATGTTTATAGTCTAAGAAGGTCAGGGTGATAAATATGCCAAAATATTTTCCTCTGTTGCCAGCTGTTCTCCGTGCAGCTAGGAATTATTATTTATTTTTAGGCTTCTTGCCAGTCAGTATCAGTCCTTGCAGTTGCGGTACTATGCTCTAATCTACCACTAGATGTCATTCAGTATCCACTCTTAAGACAGAAGGTTGATTTCTTATATTTTACCCCAATGTTTTTTCAAAGAGAAAATCTTAACAGTTATCTCAGTTTTCAAATTTATCAAGACTGTAGCTTTGTATAACTTCCACTTCAGTATTATGTATTTCTGTCCCCCATAAAAGAAATTAAAACGCCACTTCCATTCTTCTGGAAGGGTGGGGCAACAATCCCTTTCTCACGTTCAGTGGTTTTTAGCTTCTTGGGCGCCTTTTCCAGGAAATTCAGTTATAAAGTAGTAAAGAAAGGATCAATATTCTCACCTAGTTCCAAACATGCTGTTTATGATCTGGTTAGTGCTTTTTTCTTCGGTTGTCAGTGGCTAATGGCTGGCCACAAGAATGCAGCC